CCCTCTCATTCTCTCTCTCTCTCTCTCAGTTAAGTCCTTACGCAGCAAGTCGCGTGCGAATTTCGCGCGACCTCGGCCTGCACGCGCGCGCCTGCTCAAGGAGACACCGTACCCCCCACTGGCAGGAAATCGGATGTCCGCGTTACGTCACTGGCCCGCGGACCCTTCTTCCGCCGACCCACTTTCGCCCACTCGCGCTCTCTCTTTCTCTCTCTCTCTCTCTCTCTCTCTCTCTCTCTCTCTCTCTCTCTCTCTCTCTCTCTCTCTCTCTCTCTCTCTCTCTCTCTCTCTCTCTCTCTCTCTCTCTCTCTCTCTCTCTCTCTCTCTCTCTCTCTCTCTCTCTCTCTCTCTCTCTCTCTCTCTCTCTCTCTCTCTCTCTCTCTCTCTCTCTCTCTCTCTCTCTCTCTCTCTCTCTCTCTCTCTCTCTCTCTCTCTCTCTCTCTCTCTCTCTCTCTCTTTCTCCCTCCCTCCCTCTCTCTGTCTCTCTCACATGCATCCCACCTCCACCCCACCTCCACCCCACTCACCCACCCACCCTTTCATATACACACGCGCGCGCACACCCAGGCATACAGACAAAACTAAATTTCTCCCCTTTTCCCTTCCCTTTTTCCTCATTCCCTCTCCCCCTCTCACTCTCACATACACACTCGCTCCCTCGCTCCCTCGCTCCCTCGCTCCCTCGCTCACTCTCTCTCTCTCTCTCTCTCTCTCTCTCTCTCTCTCTCTCTCTCTTTCTCTCTTACTCGGCTGGTTTCCCCGTCTGCCCCTTGCACTGCACATCGGGGCCGTGTCCCCGGACGAGGTTCGTTGAACCGCGGGTCCGCGTCCATGCCGGGAGTACGCACGTGGCAGTGACTGCGGCAACTGCCACCGCCGATGCCCCGCGAGATACCAAGAACACGAAAGATGACGACCTTACAAGCGGTCGCATCTCCGAGGCGAGCCTCGCACGCGCCGAATTCTCCATGAAGCGTGACATAACAGATTGACTAGACGCGACACGATAATGAGATCTGCTCCACGTGCCTGCTTCTTCTCGTTGAGCGGATTGAGGCTACAATCGCATACCCATAGCATCGAAGTACCAGGATGCTATGACGAATGCAACTACCCTACCCTCTTCGATACTTTCATTCTCACGCGGCAACCGCTGCCTCGAGCCCCCCGTGTAGCCCTCTACCGTTCTGTCTCTGTTCCTCTGATATCTCTCGAGTGCTTACGATAGATGCACTGCTTTGCAAACGATTTACGCGAATGCCATCGCCTTAACGCCACTTCGCCCTAATTACTGTGAAATTGAGCCGTGGCCCGTAACACAGCCAATACCGGCACTTTCATTACAACCAGAAAACGCATGAACAAGGAAAAGAAAACGTTTGCCAATAATTCTTCTACCCCTCTTCTTGTTTTCATTTACGATCTCGACGCTCCTTACAAGCAGTTGACCCTTTTTGAGGAGTGACCGTTAAAAGCGCTTTTACCTAATAATATAGCGAGACACATAATTAATGGACCTGATCATATCGCGCGCATTTATTTATAATAATATTTCAAATTCATAAAGAATTTCTAATTCACGACTAATTATCGACTCTATCGAACGCGGGCTTGTCAATTAATTAAATGCAGCCTATGTATGTGCGAGAAAGTTAGTGTCCTGTAATCAAATGATATTTCAAGAATTATCTAGATTCACTCGATTCACGGAACATTACGGAACATATTTGCGATTAGCATTGCTGATTTCGATCTCATCATCATTAAAATTTCTATTACGAAATAAATAATTCTTACTCCGATAAGTCCATAGGAACACTTTATCGGCTCAGCTCGAACTACAAATATATTATACGCGGATAAGACTATCACTTTTGATATTATATCTTATTTTGTGTTTGCGTCTCTTATATTAAAAGGTTTCTAAAAGAAGAACTCGCACTATTTTATTGGTGCAATAATGATCAAACAAACTCATTGTTCAAAAATTTAAGATTGCCGACACGAAGATTCGATAAAATTGCACTGACACTCAATTATTTTATATTTATGAAATCAATATTTCTATATTCGTACATAACTGCTTAATTTAGTTAATATGTTTAGAAAGATGTTTTATTTCGTTTCTTTTTTTTTTTTACTAGCGAGGGAGTGCGGCAACGATCTTGTTATTGTTAATAATACTCTCGGCACTGAAAAATATATAATATAAAGATTGCTTGTAGAATAATTGAATAATTGAGCATGGAAAAAAAACATCTTACCTATCAGGAAATTGTTTTTGTTTTAGATTTGTATTTATGGAATTTCGTTCATTTACGTTTATGGCTAATTTGAATTTAATTTGTTCCTCCCTTCAATCGTCCTTCATTGTGAATCAAAGTATTTTAACGAAATTAGAGGAAATTTTTTTTATATTTCAAACGATTAAGAACTTTAGGCTATTAGTATAAATATAATTTGTACGAATAATCATTACTCTGTATATTTTGTAGATGCATCTATTTGCATTAATGCATTAGCACATGTCTTTATTACATATTTCTATTGGAACATTAAAATGTAGAAGCTTAGTCACAATATTTCGATGTAGTCGATTCTTTTGTCAAACGATAATTTTCCATTGTCATATATTTTGAACGTATTTTTTTTTTTATTATTAATCTTATTATTATTACATATACACTTGAGAGTTATGCATATATTTCCATTAATTATAAGATTGTAATTAATATAATAAGATTCGACTAATGTCTTAACTGTGACAATCATTTATAAGTGGATAATATTCAAATGATACTACTAAACTAATACTGGAATTTCTATTTCCATTCATCATGTTTGATGTAGCGCACGCGCAGGCAAACTGAAGTAAGTTTTTAATGCGTTAGAACCTTAGGGTGAGAATGCTGTGGCCTCAAAATCACTCGCGATCCCGTTAATTTAATCACCAACAACGCTCCGCGTTGAGTTCCACAGTTTCATCCACCATTTGCACAAAATGATCGCCAGCGCATCCTTGTGTAATACATTGTATTATGTCATATAATATGCAGTAAGTCATACAATAATGTTAATTGTGTGATACAGACGTGAGGCTATTAATTGCACTACCCAAACGCCAAATAATCTATTATTGAGAGTACAGATAAGCAATTTTTTTTCTTTGTCGGCAATTACAAATAACTAATTATGATCGAGGCTATCCGTAGATATTTATCGATAATTGTCATTTTGGTGCCTAACGCACCTCTTTTCAGTAATTTTCTCTTCTGCTTTTTTCGATGTTTTTTTTTTTTTTTTTTTTTTTCGTCGAAAAAGGAAAATGATCGAGCAGCATCTTTTATAAGTATTTATGAAATTAGCCAAATATTATGTGAAAATAATTTATCAAGATAAAAATTAGAAATGTAAATTAGACATGTAGTAGTAAGGATCTTAATTAAAACTTAGGAAAAAATAATCATTATTATCTTTCATAATCACTTTTCAGCAACATTATACGAATCTATATGAACATTTCTTATTAAATAATACTGCAATAGTTTATACAACTGCACCAAATGATACAGAAATATCAAAGACAGGAATATATTAGATTATTATTTTTATCGAATTATAAATATTCATGCAAAATTTATGTAAGATTTTTCTCCATTAATTGAGCAAAATAATTTAAAAAGTCATAAAAATCAAATACGATAACATTGTTTCAAGTATTTATTGCTAGCGCGTGCTTGAAATGAAATATTATAATGTGATAAATAAAATTTTCTCAAGTTTGAAAATGATCGTAAAAAACAAAACAAAAAAACAAAAACAAAAAAAAAATACAAAAAAAAATTAAAAATATCATATGTAATAATACTGTAAAAATTTACGACAGACTTGTAAGAGCTGCCGTTCGTTTATTCTATTATCGTGCTTTTACAGATGCGTGCATCTGTCATTTATCTATTCAATATCAATATCACCATATAACGTCCGTAACGACATTCCGTTTATCGAAATTTCTTTAACAACGTCCCTGCCACTTGTCGAAACGCGGCATCAGGTATTAATCTAATGCCGCAATTAGTAAAGCTCCCGATTCCTGAAATGTTATTGATAATTTTGAGCATTTGTCGTGCGGTAGGGTCATTGGACAAATAATGCGCCCACGCATCCCTCCATAAAAGGGCTTGAGGGCGCTTCAACCAATGAGCGGAGAAAAAACGAAAATAGCCATTGGAAATGCAATGGCGACAGTGTGCTGCGAGAAAATGCGACAAGCTTTGTTGCGCGCCCATCCGCCTCGGGGTTGTTGATGCATCTCGGTGGGGGAAACTGGTTCGAGCGTCAATGACGAGATGACCCACTTCTTCATTACTCTTCTGTTTTCTTCATTTTTCTTCTGCGTTTCGCCGAGTCTTATGAGCGTAAATCCACATTCACTTTTATTTCTGAAACGTAGTTGGCTTTGTTGTGCATAACAAATGCAAACGCAGACAGTTTGTTTGCCGCCTCTTGTCAGCCACA